CCTGTGCCTGGGGCGGGGGTCCCTGCCCCATAGAGATGGGGAGGAAGCTGGGGTCCATAGCTGGGGGCTCCACGGCGGGTGGGACCCCACGGCTGTGGGGCTGGAGCTGCAGTGGGGTGGCGAGGGCTGGGCGTAGGGGCAGTAAGCGCTCCCATGCGACGCCTCATATGTTTCTATCTAGGGCACCTCCTGGCTTGGGGGCTGCCCTGCCGAGGGGACCCTGAGCGGGGCACTGCTGCAGTGGGACCGGCTGTGGGGTGTACCCGCCCCACATACCTTCTCTCCCCACAGATGGCCCAAAGGCTGGCGCTCCAGCGGCTGCTGTCCCTCGCACCCAGGACGCTGCCCTCCCAGGGTCCCCTGGCACCATGTGCCCCCCTGGCACCTCACGGCAGGGCCTTCGGCACCTCAGCAGGCTGCAGGAGCACCTTCAACGTGCAGGATGGCAGCGACTTCCAGGACCGGGTGGTGAACAACCCCAAACCCGTTGTGGTGGACTTCCACGCGCAGTAAGTTCCCCCCGACTGCTCTTGTGCCCCGCTCAGCCATCACACGTGCAGGCGTGTCCCTGCTGCTTTCCTGGCACGGTGTGGCACTCTGGGCGCACCGGGGATGTGAGTATGCCCGAGGACTTCCCAAGCCGTGGAGCTGCCGACCGCCCTGCCGGGTGTCTGGTGTTAAAAGGTGCTTCTGCTCCTATGGCAATGCAATCCATAGAGGAGGTTTCACTCATTGGGTTGCACTGCTGTAGGTGTAGCTACACCCTGCAAGAGTGTAAAACACCAGTGCCAGGAAGGTGTTCCCCAGGGCAGTGTCGCCGCACCTCCCAAGTGCTCGGGTGTCACCCTGGCCCCGGCGTTGCATCATCCTGTGAAAGACACCTCAAAAAAAAAGCTCTGATATTTCCTTTTTTTAGCTTCGTGGATTAAACGTCGTCTTAAAAACACTAAATGATCTTAACGGCCGTGGAAGTTCTTCCCCCTGCACCGACATGTTGCGTCTCTCCAGTTTTCTTATGCTGCGTGCTCTTGAAGCGCGGCTCTTGACAGCAAATGCCGTTATGTATTAGTAACAGCCACGTGATGCCAACAGCAGCATTTGTCATCGATAAAAATGTTGTCGTCTTCTTGCCAGTAAAAATACTCCTAGATGTTATCTGCTGGATTAACGGTACTGATTATCTTTCTTTTTTCACGTATTTTCATAGTCCCGCAGCGCTGTCTGTCCTGTGAGCCTGTTGTGGCTGATTCTGGGCAGAGTATGAAACAGCCCGAAAACTTCTGCTCTAAATAGACCAAACTGACAAACCAAATTGAACGTTAATTGGGATCATCCAGGGAGAAGACAAATAATTGAAAGCCTGAAACCTGATACAGAGGGAGGCTGAGGAGGAACAAAGTTTACTAAAGCTTCAATTTTAAAAGAAAAGGGCACTTGGAGCTTTAACTCATGTTTTCCTTGAACTGAGTAAGTTCATGCCATCCTAACTGGTGCGGTTAGAGGATGCAGGAGGTGTTTTCTGTGTACAGGGCCTCGCAAAGTCTGCTGTTGCTGCACCTGGGTTTGGAATAGGTGGTCTCTCTTTGAAGAGATGCAATGCCTCTGCGAGTTTTGCAGCTAAAGGGGAGTTTCTGTAAACCCTGCAGTGAGTGCGGAGGGGAAGTCTGTGATCTGATGATCGGCATAAACCAATCTGAGTGTGGGCTGAGACCCCCGCACCCAGCAGCGACACTCGCTCTAGGGCGGCTTTGTGGTCAGCAGGGTCACAGCTTTGCACGTACGTGCCAGCGAGGATGCAAAGCAGGGTAGTGATGAAGAGCCGAGAAGCGGGGGCAGGAGGACCACCAAGGCTGGCAGAGCAGACTGCGGTGTGATCGAAATGACATCAAAAGCACCGCGAATGCTGAATGGTGACCTCTTCTGCCGCTCAGCCCCCTCACCACACAGACACAGAAAAAAACCTTTGACAGCTCCTTTGTGAGAGAAATGTTTTCCTAAGCCATGGTTCGGGAATGGTGTTTCCAGGCTGGCTCTCGAATGGAACGGCGATGGTGGTAAAGGCACTGGTGTACCAGCAAGCCTTCCACGGCTGCTGCTGCTGCGCTTGCCGCCTCTAATGTCCCCTGTCCTCTTTCTCCATCAGGTGGTGTGGCCCCTGCAAGATACTAGGCCCCAGGTTAGAGAAGATGGTGGCCAAGCAGGAGGGGAAGGTGCTGATGGCCAAAGTGGACATTGACGATCACACAGACCTTGCTATTGAGTACGAGGTAGGAGCCGGAAGAGTGCGGTCTCTCTTTTGCTGGCGGTGCAAAGAAGGTCCCTCCCCAGGGAGAGGTGTGCCCGCACGGCAGTGGCATCGGTGGGGAGGGCAAGCCCAGCGCCTACAGGTTCCTGATCCCTTGGGTCACTCGTTAGTAGGTGGATTTCGCTGCATGGCTCTCCTCCAGCTCTGCTGCTCGTGCTCAGCATCCCCGCCTCTAATTCTGCAGAAAGGTGTCCTCTAAGCCTTGCAGGCATCTGTCAGCGTAAATGCTTGCCTGGCCTTGGAGCCTGCAGCATACGCAGCGTTCTGCTGCGTGCATGGGCTGCTCAGGTGCAGGGCAGGAACGTGAAGTAACAAGCCCCAGTCTGCTCTGCTCCTGAACATAGTTCTTTGTGCAGCCAGCCCATCCTCTCTTTCCCTTCCTTGAACAAGGTTTCTTGCTGGGTGATAATGTCCCGTCCTTAAGCCACAGCACAAGGAGACACCGTGGGCTTTGTTTGGACAGGTGGGAGCCAGGTCGGAGAACACACATAAGCAACAGGAGCATGTGTCCCGCTCTTGACAAGTGTGGACCTTGGCGCTTACACTAGTGTTTTACATGCCTGTTGGGCGTGTTCCCTGTGCTGCCTGGCTCCCAGGAGGGAGCAGAGTGGCTGGAGAAGGCCATGGCTTTGGTTTACGTAATTGACTTATTTTTTCCCTGTGCCAGTGATTAGGTAGTTTAAGAAATGCAAAAACTCCTCTGACGGCTGTGCTCACCTCCGTTGTCTCTCCTTGTAAACAACTCCTCAGTCTACAGAGTCGGGGCATCCTGCTGCTGTGTTTTACAGGGAAAAAAGGGCTTAATTTTCACTCACGTATCATGCAGATGGAGCTGCTCCCCCTCTGCAGATGAAGTCCTGCTCCCAGGGCGGGGGCTAGCACAGGAAGCTCCTCAAGTTGCCCAGCAAAGTGTGAACCATCTCCTGAGCAAGCTGTCATTTTGTTGAGCCTGGAGGAGATGCTCTGTGCCATTCCCACACCCTGCCGTGCCGGAAGGAGAAGGAAGTGGAAACAGCTTGTTCCCTCCCACTCTTTCCCAAGGAGATCTTTCTGCCTGTGCTGTGGTGGCGTGTCCACCCAGCTGGCGGCCACAAATGTGACTTGCAGCTTCCACAAGCTGAGCGTGAGAGCCTCCGGTGCTCTCCTCGGTGGTGGCGTGCTCGCAGATACGCCCCAGGCCAAGGAGGGTGGCTGCTGGCTCCTGAGCAGGGCTGTGTGTTGCAAGCCCAAAGGCTGCATCACTCGAGGGTGCTGGTGAGAAGAAGCTGAAGAGGGTGAAGTTGTTTCTGTGGTGGTCAGAAAGCACGTAAATGCTAATAGAGGCAGGCCAGGCTCTGGTAGCACCCACCCTAAGGAGGAGAGAATAGGGGTTATTAGCTTAACTCTTGTATTGTTCCAAGTCTTCCAGTAGATCGAATTAGCTGGGATTACAAGAGGATCATCTCGGATGACTGGAAAACGGCAAACAGAGTGTGTGCATGTGAAGAAAGGTCTTCAAAAAGAGGCTGAAAGTTCCCGAGTTGTGCAGGCTTGCTGACACGCTGCGTGTGCTCTCCCACCGGATGGTGAGTGAGCAGCTGCACAGCCTGCTGTGTACACGCATTTGTCGGCAGGGTCTGCCCGTCTTGCAGCCCTGGTGGCATAGGTGCAGGCAGGATTGAAGCTGCGGGCAAGGGCCAGCTTCCAGCAATTCATTCTGGAGCCTTACAGACAAACATGAAGTTTTTGTTTTGCAGGAGGGCCTGGGGATCGTCGCTGCGTCCTCTGCTCTCAGAGTGATGCGTGTATCTGGTCTTGACCATTATCCCCACGGCTAAAAGCCCATCCCTAGGCGGTGTCCGTGAGTAGGATAGCTGCAAACGGGTAGGGGTAGAGGAGAAATTTTTGCTTTGATCTTCATAGTTTGGGGCATCCTTTTCAAGGCAGAAGTTTGGTTCATGTGCTGAGCACGTGCTTGGTTTTGCTTTGTCTTCTGGGAAGTTGCCGCTTAAGGAGATGTGAGCATAAGGGCTGATGGGAAGACTCCAAGTCGAGATCAAGGAGGGACCAAAGGTAGTGTTTGGGAGAGATCAGGAAAACCAAATGTGGTGTTCGGGGGGGATCAGGAAAGCCTTATTTGTTTTAAAGGCATTCCATTGGGGATCAGATGTCTGCAGGCTGAGAAAGTTTTTGTTCTGAGGGTTTTCAGTGTCCGTGCCACCCCCACAACTCCTCCACTAGCTGCCAGGAAGTCTCCTTCCATCCATGTTTATTCCCCTGCCGACGCACACAGCCCCTGGCTTGCCGCCCAATTGCACAACGTCCGCTTCAGCAGCTTCCTTGGCATGGGGGGAGGCAGGGCGAGGGGGAGAGACCCCCTGGAAGAGCTGAGGAATGCCGGTGCATTCCTTCACACGCGCGTCCGTCTGCCCTTGGCTCCCAGCCGTCCCGGCTTTGCATGAAGCAGGGTTGCGTTTCCTGCGACTAGAAACGTCCCCGGCGCCCTTCCCCGTCCGGTTATACCCAGCACAAAAGTTCTTTCTCTGGGGATTCTTCCTTTTATCTTAACACCTTTCATCTCTGGTTGTGGCCTTTCTCCGCTGGTCCAGCCCGCTCCTGACCTCTCGCCCCGAGAGCAGAAAGGGAGAAGGAATACTTTTGTTTAATCTGCCATCTCTTAAAATTCTTCAGATTCATCTCTTGCCTTGGCCTGTTACCCGCGCGCGTGGCCACTGGGAAAGGGCAGCCCCTTCTCCGGCTGCTGCGGGTGGGCAGCTCGGGAGAGCTGCTGGATACAGGGACGGTCGTTCATCAGCAGAGCTCGGTCCTGTGTTACGTCTCATTCTGAAGCCTGGGTGAAATCCTTCCCCCTGCTCCATTGTGTGGCATCCGAGCTTGTATAAAAGCCCCAGTTTCAGATGGGAGAGAATTCCCGCGGTACAGGTGCTGCCATGAATAGCCTGGATGGCCGCGTTTGTTTATACGTGTCGTCAGCGCTGATCAAAAGCAGCCTGACTTTTTCTCTAGAAATGCTCTTGAGGGAGGAGGAGGGTTTGTTTAGGTTCAGTGTGGATGGGACCCAAAAAAAAGGAGGGGGGGGGGGGGGGAAAGGCCCCAACTTTGCATTCTAGAAATTTCCATGACATCTGCTTCTCAAGCAGCAAAACAAAGTACGTGCTCCGTCAACAGGCTGCCCTTGCTTCAGCTAGAAGGAAGGAAGCTGTCAAAAGCGTCGTGTTTTCTGGGCAGAGGCAAGTTGCTCACTGCCCCTGGTTCTCGCCCAGCTCTGCAGCGCCAGCCCCAGACCTGCCACCCGTTCTCGGGGGTTTGCTCACCAGCACGAAAAGGGGAACAGATGGAGGGATTGAGGCTGTGTGAAGCTCGTGGGTGCGCTGGTCAGCGTGCAGAGCCCTGTAACTCGGTGTTAGCTGCTTCTCTGTAGTGCTTCGAAGAGTCGCCCGTTCTGCCCCTGGTTCTCGCCCAGCTCTGCAGCGCCAGCCCCAGACCTGCCACCCGTTCTCGGGGGTTTGCTCACCAGCACGAAAAGGGGAACAGATGGAGGGATTGAGGCTGTGTGAAGCTCGTGGGTGCGCTGGTCAGCGTGCAGAGCCCTGTAACTCGGTGTTAGCTGCTTCTCTGTAGTGCTTCGAAGAGTCGCCCGTTCCTCACCCAGGCCGTAATGGCCTGATGCTTGGCGGCTGGGCGCCGGGTTTTTGGGTG